GCCAGGGCCTGCAAGAGATGGACGGCCAGCAGGTGGCATGGTGGCTGAGGTGGCTGCATCCCACATGGCAGACTGTGCAGTTCCAGTCTCAGACCCAGAAGATTAAGAAACATGTTGGGCACACGTGTGCGTCTGCCCAAAATCCTGAAAGGAGAAATGGAGGAGAAAGGCTTGGGGTGCAACCACCTGCCAATGATATCTCATTTGTCCTCTCTTCTCTGTCTCTCCCTAGCAAGTGCATGTGCCCGCTAACAAATTTCAAAAATAAATAAATAGATGGCCAGCCAGTGGCGTAGTGCTGAAGGCATTGGACTCCCACTAAAACTGCAGTCTTAGTCGAGGGCCCAGCTGCTTGGAACTCACACCAGGTGTCTGTGCAAGTGTGCCCAGAATCCAAAGAGGATCACCCCTTGGGGATGATAACTTGCTTTCTGTCTCTCTGTCTCTGTCTGTCCAGCGAGCACACACACCACGTAACAAAAATCCCTAAAAAATACATAAATAAATAAGAAAAATAACTGGAGAAACAGACACCGGGGAAGTAAAAAGGGAATGGCCACTTTCTCAATTTGGGAAATAAAGTTCCCCAGAAATTACAAGGATTCTAAGTAGAGGCAGCCGAGGTAAAATCAGGGACAGGTATTTAGACTTGGCAAAGCTTCAGGCTGAGGATCCAAGAAGCCAGGTTACCCGAGCAGTCCAGGGTAGCTAAAGGGAAAGGGACTGCCCTCGGCGGAGTGTCTCAGAACCTCAGAGTGGCCAGTCGATGGAGGCTACATGGATGCAAAGGGATGGCCAAGGTTTGGTGAGGGCTCAGCCCAAAGGTGGTGGGGCAACAGCCTAAAGTTACTCGTGAGTAACGTCTCTAAACTCTAGTGCACCAGACATCCAGAATGAGCAGTGAGGGGACGGGGAGAGCAAGGGGCTTATGGTTGGTGGCCCAGATCCACAGCTCTCCAAAGAAGAGTATCCAGGAGTCCAGGAGGAGGAAGGGGGAGAGTGGAGCATGGAGCAACAGGTTGTCTGAAGGCTGGGAGGGCTGGGCCTGGGTGTTGGTGTCCCTGTGATCACGGGGACATGACTGGGTGCTGAAGGAACAGATGAACCAGGAGGTGATGCCCTGGAGCCATGTGTTGAGGGCCCACCCAGCTTTCTTCAGAACCTGGAATTAGTGCTAGAAATGACCTGGAGGCCACCTGTTCTGTCATTCAATGCACAGGAAAATGGAGTCCCGAGCATGAAAATGGCTTCGAAAGACCGGTAAGTCTAGGAGAGACAGGACCAGAACGCAGCTCTCAGCTCTCAGTCATTGTAAATGTTTTCCAGGGGCCCAGGCTTGTGTCTGCTGTGACACCCCCATCGCCACACACCCCACGTGACCTGAAGGCAGCAGCCAGAGGGACACGGGGGACAGACATGGACACGCTGTTGGTCCTGGGTGGGAAAAGCACAGGGGTTGTAGCTGTGGGAGCAGTTTGCTTGCTTACTCCGTTTTGACCCAGCAGAGGAAACCACACCCTTTTCTCCTGATGACAGCTGCAGAGCCACTGTCTGGAGACAGGGGAAATAGCTCGATTCATGCCTGGCACGTGGCTCTGAGTTTGCCTGGGAAATAAGTACCCTGAGGAGACCTCAGCTTGTTTGGCAGTGAGGAAGGAGGTGGGCAGGGGTTGGAGCACCCATCCCTCAAGCCAGGAATAGCCAGCTGGGGTCTCAACCTTGGACAGCTCAGCCTTGGGTCTGGTTTAGCCTGGGACCTACAGGCCCTCCGTGGCCTTCAGAGGTGAGAGTCAATGTGGGGTCCCCAAATGCAGAATGTCTGTCTAGAAGCCCTGTCTGCACGCTCCCACCAACTGCTCGGCCTTCTCTCCCCCCTGCCTGTTCCACCACCCTCCTGAATCGACTCCACAGGATCACGGTCAGAGGCTCTGCACAAAGGCACAGGTAAAGGGGAGCAGGCCGGGGTTCGTCTTACTCACGCCTGCCTTCATTTACTCATACGCTCTTGCATTTATTCCTTCGACTGTTCATCCAGCGTTCACCAAGCCAGGCCTTCAGTGCCAAATCTCCAGAGTTGAGCCGAGCGGTGTCCCCGCTTGGAGGAGCCACAGTCAAGTTCAGGAAACAGACCTGAAAGTCTAGAACGGCATATAGCGGAGCAGAGGCTGCTGACTGTCTGGGCGTGCTCTGGCACACACCCCGCTTCGTTGTTAATCTGTTTGTTTTTCTTTGAAATTAGTTCATATATTTTATAAACAGGAGTTTTCACATAAAAATTCAGATGTCCTGACCTAGCCTGTTGGAACCGCTGGTAGAAAACCGAACTGCAGAGCGGGCAATCACATGGTTGACTCCGGGTTCAAATTCCCAGGTTGTCCTGGAAACATACCTGGCACTCATAGGCACTCAAGATCCTGGGGAGCGAAATTCTGGGGGGAGGGGGCTCAGCAGGATGAGACCCTGTCACGGGTGCCTCTCAATCTCCGTCTTTCTCACTCTAATGCGCGTGCACGTGCTCTCTATCATAAATAAAATACTTTCTTGCATCTTTGGGAGACCCAGCAACACCTGGTCCACTTTCCCATGTGGCGACCCTCACCTGAGGCTGAGGGGTACTGTCCGTCCCTTCAGAGGAACACACCCATTCGCCACAGTCTCCACCGCTCCCTAGTGGTCCCTGAAACTGAGTTGCCAAGAGTCGGCCAGCTGGTGCTGTTGATGTGAGCGAGCCCTGTCAGCTTCACCTGGGCCTTGTTCCCACCGCCTGTGTGGGAGATCCTTGGTCCACGGCGGAAAGTGCTCTGAAAGAGGCAACAGAGGGAATTGTGGGAGCGCATGGGAAAGGCACCCAAGGCACCTGCCGGGATTGTCTAAAACCAGAAAAATAGCAATTTCTTAATAGCCTGAGAAGGCAAGCACCTCTCCTGAATCAACACTCCATGACCGTAGTCAGTGGCTCTGTGGAAGTCACAGGGTAAAGGGGGCCAGACCAGTGTTCAACTCCCGCTGACTCCTTTCTTCACGCATTCATACACTTCTGCATGTATTCCTTCCCTGTGCGCCCGATGTCCACTGAGCCAGGACCTCACTTGCCACTAGGTTCAGTGCTAGGGCTGTTGGCTGTGGTTTCTGCTTCTCACATTTTTTAGCTCGAAAAATGGGAGGCAGACTCAGTTAGGGGAGGAATCTGAAGTCCACCGTGTATTCCTGGGCTATGTCTGCAGCATTCATTCACTTCATTCATAGATGTTTAACTCAGTCATTCGTAAGTACCTGTGGTGTGTGCAGCACGGAGCTAGGCCCTGAACCCGAAGACATAAGATTATGTCTCCTCTTCATACTGATTCACCCACCGAGATCCCCAGCACCTAGCATCAGTGTCTGGCACACAGTATGTGCTCAGCCAACACTTGGTGTGTGATTGAATGAATAAAAAGGTAAAGAGGTGGCTGATTATAGGACCTTCTATTTGCTGAGCTCTTTATTTACTGACAGGGCTTCACAGAGACTGTCGCAATCCTCAGGTAGGCCCTGTTACTGTCCTCTTTGACTGATAACAACAGTGAGGCCAAGAGAAGTCACTTGCTGGAGGTGGCACAGCCATTCTGAACCCTTAACTACCACTCCACACACCACCTCAGCGTTGCAAGGCAAGATGTGCTCAGGCCCTAGACAGCACACACCAGGGCCACCATGAGCTTCCTTAGGCAGGACAGTCAGGAGGGGCCCGCAGTGAGGGAAGGCTGCATGCAGTCTGGGCAAAACGAAAGCAGAGGTGGAAAAAGAGAAGCATCTTCCCTGAGGGATGCAGAAAGGCTGGGGCAAACCCAAGCATAAGAGAAGGTGCCCCAGTAGGGTCTCCATGTGTGCTTCCTGGAGCACCCACGGGGGTGCCAGTAAGGAGACGTGATCTTCCTGCAAGTTCAAGCACGCCCTGGGTGAATAAGAACCTCCCTTTGAGGATTCACAGCCAGTTACTAGATGGAGGAGAAGTATGCAAATGAGTCTGCTTCAGGAAAGCAAGTGTTAAGAGCCAAAGAGTGGGAATAATTGCAGAGAGGAAGAGACTATATCATAATGGGAATAGCAGAGCAGGATTCCTGGACTGTCATGATGAATAGGGCCTCACCCTAAGAGTGGGGGAAGGTCTCCTTGGTGGCAAGGTGGGAGGCAGGTGCTATGTGCCCCAGTGGAGAGGGAGGAAAGGGGAGGTTGACAGGATAGGTGGGGCCATTCTGGGGGTCTTCGAGTACTGGGCCAAGAAGCTCGGTTTTCTTCATGGGCAGTGGGGAGCCGCTGGAGCTGTTTAGCCAGGGAGGGACACATCTTGTTCACAGGAGGCTGCATAAAAGCACTTGTCTTCTAGATTGAAAGTTCTTGGAGGACGCAGACCCCTCGTCGGGAGCAGGATTTGGAAGAGTGAGGCTGAGAGATGCTAGAAACAGAATTCGCCCTTAGGAGCTCTCATTCAGGTTGCAAGAGAGAGGTAGAATCAAAATTGCCTTAAATCGGGAGTCAGGATAGCTGGGTTCAATCCCTGGTAGGTCACCAACCAGCTATATGACCTTCCTCAGCCTTCTCTTTCATCAGTTTCCTCATCTAGATTGCAAGAAGGCTGACCACTCCAAACACCCTTGAAATCCCAACTCCCACCCTGCGAATCTAAGAACCCTGTGCCACCACCCCATCCTGAGATCACTTCTCGCAGAGTTAGATAGGCACTGGGAAGGTTCATTCCATCCTCGCTGGGTTGAACAGGAGGGCCAGACTGCAGCCCCAAGCTCTGGCTATCACAGGTGGGCTCAGAGAGTGCAAGGGGAGCCAGAGGTGCTGCAGGCCTGCTGGCTTGAGCAGGGACAGCTGGGGGCTGGGCAGCAGGGGAACTAAAATAACCAACCAGCTTCCTACCAAACCAGTTCCAGGCCCAGGGCTGGGAATTTCACAAAAAAAAAAAAAAAAGCCAAAAGAGCTGTGTGAACACTTCCTGTCCCACCCCACCCCTCTTCCTGGCAGGGTTACCACACCTGTGAAGCAACCTCCCCGAGAGAGGGCCTAGTGTCCTGGCCATGAGCTGCCTATAAATGCCGGGCATGCACTGCTCTACCAAACCTCTGTGTGGCTCCTCAGCTTCAGCTTCGGTAAGTGAGCTGCCAGCTTCCCAGGCAGAAGCCTGCCTACCATTCTTCCTTCTCCTCCCCATTCTACTTCCTCCCAGAGCCTCCTCCTGGAAGCCCTCCTTGATGAATCCCACCAACTTTTAAACTTTCTTCAAATGCTCTTAGGTTATGTTCTGCTAGAGCCTCCTGCTTTCAAATGCTTTGTTTTTTGGCGTTCTTCAGATATCTTAAAAATATCACTCCTCACCTGTGTGTGACAGGCGGTCTCCTAGCTGCAGCCTGTGCTTTATTTTTATTTCACACCCCCCACTTCACTTCTGCCAGCAGCCAGTAGGAAGTATCCAGAAAGCTCAACAGCCCTTCTGACTAAGCGCCTAACCTTTGCTTCTCTGTTTCTCAGAGTGCAAGATAGCTGGAGAAATGTCGCAGATGGAAAATAGCATAAACACCATCATCAACGTCTTCCACCGGTACTCAGTGAGGCTGGACCACTTCGACAAGCTGAACAAGAAAGAATTCGGACAGCTAGTGAGAAAAGAGTTGCCCAACTTTCTCAAGGTAGGGCTGGACTTCGGCAGGCCTGATGCAGCCTCTGGTAGTTTGGGTTAAGAAGGGAGGATGGGGTGCAGTCTGCAGATGTCACGGAAAAAATGCTAGCTCCTCGGTCCCTGCCTCCAAAGGCAGCAGGTGCCCTATCACTGGGGCTCAGGGTTGGCACGGACAGAGTCCAGAAATTGTTCTGCTGACCCCAGCAGTGTGCCAGGCCCTCTAGAGAGAGGTGTCGTGGCAAACGGGAAACCCACAAGTCTAATGAGGGAGACACACAACAAAGGCATCGAGCAGTAAAGAGTGCGGTAAATCTGATGCCAGCAAGTCCTCAAAGAAAGTGAGAGAGTGCACTGCAGGTGGTTCAGGCGGCAGAGGGCAGCACTGACTGCTTAGGGTGGGCAGGAAGGGCCTCTGCAAGGAGGGGACATTTGAGGTAAGACCTAGAGATGACGCTTGGCAGGAAGCTGAGGGATCTCCAAGCCTGAGATGGGAACTTGAGGTAAAAGACCTAAAGGGCTATGCTAACCCTGAAGGTCAGCAGAAAACCAATGCGTCAGTAAGAGCATGCAGAAAGCCCCAGCACGGCACGTACAAAGCCCTCAGGAAAATGATCGCTTTTCTCCCTGATCTGAATGAACACGATTAGGTAATTCTAGGGAAAGGGTACATTTGTTCCAGTGGCCTTTTGGTGTTCTTTTTAAATTTGGGGAATGGGGGGAAACAAAAGCCTGAACTAAGAAGGGTGGGACCATTGGGTCCTGAAGCCACACATCCTGGCTCTAAGAAAGGACCCAAGCCCCAGGGATGGGCCACCTGGCTGTTCTCTGCATTCCCTGGTCCGCACCCCTAGGCACCCTCAGCCCTGACCTTGGCAAGGTGGGGAATTGCAACAGGAGGAAGTTTCAGGGAGGCTGGCATCCCCCCATGGTGGGGATCTCAAGCGATCAGGACTCAAGATTGGAGCAGACAAGAGAAGGGACAGCCAAGAGGCTATGTAGGCTGGCTTCTCCCCTGTGTGCCCTGCAACGCATGCTCCAGCCCCCACAGCACCCCCAGCCACCACAGAGTGACAGGCTAGGAGCGGAAGCTGGAACCCTTCCAGGCCCCCCACCCCAGTCTGCTCAGAAGGGTATGCTCTGGGCAGCTGGGCACCCCACAGTTCCAGAGGGGCTTAGCTGAGCTGCCCCAGCCAGCAGGTTGGAACTAGCTGACCCTCCTTTCTTCCCCACCTGGTCTTTCCATCTGCCCCGACCCGTCCCCTGTGGACTTCATCACACCCTCTGGGGTGAACAGAACATCTGCCCTGCTCTCTGTCCCCCCAGTCTCCCAGACCTCATCCCATCTTATTTAAAGTGCTTTGCCATTATGTAGGTTGAAATGAGTTTCATTAACTAGTAACCTCCAGAAGGAAGGAGGGGAAGTGAAGTGAGCAGGGTGGACCTGAATGCGCATTTCCACTTGTCCGCTTCCACACCTCAGCAATCCAGGAAGGCCAAGTACCCTTTCCAAGACTTGGTTTCCTCCAGTCTTCCTCCAAGAGGAAGCGGCATCCATTTCTACCTGTTAACGTTATTGTAAGAACTAAATGAGGTGACATTTCTAGACTTACTGATTGTGTGACCTCACGCAAGACACTAGACATATTCCCCTCTTCCGTGAAATAGAGAATCACAGTACTCAGACTGTAGTTAGATGGGGGATTGGGGAGTGTTAGCACATGTACAGCAGGTGTTCCACCAGGAGCTTTCCGTCCATAGTCGCTTTTATTTATTTGTTTATTTTTTTAGGTTTTTGCCATAGGGCACATGTGCTTGCCAAAGAGGGACAGAAAGAAGGAAAGTGAAAAATCATCTCCCAGAGTGGATGCCCACACTACAATCCCTTCTCCTCCATTCTTCTCTTGGGATTTGGGGCATGCGTCTGATGTGATTTTCAAGCTGCTGAGTCCAGGGCTCAAGCTGTGATCGGCCATGTGGAGTCCAGTGCCTTAGCCACCATGCCACTTGAAGGCCCTAGTCTTCTTTAATTTTTAAATTGAGACCCAGGGACCAGGCCACCTGATCCTTTTCTGTGCTCGATAAGTCCCCACTCCTGGCCACACCAGCCCTAACAGCTCTCTCTCCCCTACCCACAGAAGGAGAAGAAAGATGAGACGCTCATAAACGATATCCTGGAAGACCTGGACACCAATGCAGATGGCGAACTGAGCTTCGAGGAGTACATGATGATGATGGCGAGGCTGATTGTAGCCTCCCATGAGGAGATGCACAAGAATACCCCTAAAGGAGAAGGCCACAGCCACGGACCAGGCCTTGGGGGAACTGGCCCTTGCCCTGGCCGCAACAATGATGGTCATGGCCATGGTCATGGCCACGGTCATGGCCACGGCCATGGCCACAGCCACTAGGCAGGAGGACAGGCCATTCTGCACCTCTCTTGCCAGGGCCTCAGAGAATGTCAGGCCACACATTTACAGCTGTGGGGCTAGAGATCAGAGGGGAAATAAAGTCTTCCTTCAAGCCAGTGCTCTGTGTGCTTTCTCCTCACCATCTGTTCCAAGGGTCTGCCCAAGAGAGCTCCACCCTTATCTGTGGCTCTAGCCCTTTATTCAGCAATAACAGAATGAGAAGCAATGATATGTGAATCTGAACCCTGGGGCTCAACTCCCTGGCCATGTTCTCACCATAGACCTCAGCACCCACCCACTACACAGGTTTCAGTCTCCTGCCCAGTTTATCACCTCCCTGACCCAACTGTCAAAATGGCCCTTGTCACTGCAGAATGCAGAAAAGGGCTATCCCTTCCCCTCAACCTGCCAGCCATCTCCTCCTGAGGTGCAACCCACACTGTCTATGTAGTCATCTTTCTCCTAACAGAACTCTATTCCCTCTGGAAATCTTCCATGCCATATCTGGGGAAGACACTGGGGCTGGACAGTAGGGGTAAGGACAAACTGGGTGTGTTTCCAAACCCCAAACACATTTCTGGATCTAAGAGAGCAGTTGGGGCTCTCTTAACAGACCTAGCATCCTAACTTGGGATTGGTGGGGTGGGGTACAGGGGTACACATATGGATGCAAGCCTGGGAATTTAGCCCCTGCCCACTTCACCCCCCATGGGAGGGCAGAGTGAAGAGCACTTACCTGCCCATCAGAAGAAATAAATTCCAATCCCAGCTCTGCAGCTAAAAGACTTCATGACTACCATGAGGCATTTGTACTCTGGACACAGAGAGCCTCTGGGGCCTGAAGATGCTGATTTAAGCCTCAAGGGTCTACTGTTCTCTCTGAGGTGACCTAGATTCCTTCAACCCCTGGTCATAGCTGAGCACTGGGGCCAGCAAGGGCATTGGCTACTCTCTGCCAAACCTGGGCCTGGCTCCATCCTCCCTAGGGCTCAGCCGCTGCTCCTAGCTCAAGCAGCCTCCAGACCCATTGCTCACTTCAGAACCCTCAGTGGCTACCCTGTCACTTCCCTGCCCTCCTACCATAAAGTCTCTTTCCAGTTTACAACCAGCAATCTGCGTCTCCACAAACCAGAGCCCAGGTCGGGGTCCTCTGTCCCTGTTCTTTTCAGCAGAAAAGAATAAGGATTTGGTGAAGCTGGAAGAAATACTATCAAGCATCTACTCCCCATTTTCATGAATGAAGGAAACAAACCATAGAGAAGAGACTAGACTGCACACAGTGACAGAGCCGGCCAGAACAGTGCAGTGAGAGAGGGTCCACTGATGGCATCTGCTCAGCTCCTGCCCCCAAAGGTGAGCATGAAATAGTGGAGCTGCCAGGTCAGAATCCATCTGTCCCTTCAGAAAGAGATAGCCCCTTTCTGCATTCTGCAGTGACAAGGGCCATTTTGACACAGAATCCATCTGTCTGCCCATGGCTGGGTCTCCGCCTGCCTGTAGCACACTCCTGGTGGTCCAGGAATTCTGCTGCAGGTGTAGCAGATTTAATGGTCCAGGAACTGTTCTAGGCTATGAGCTTTAGTAGCAGTTTTAGAAGTCCTTCCTTGCTAGTCCTTCCATGCCTGACTTGGGGACATGACACCTGGGGACAGCCCTTCTACCCTTGCACTCACATTCTGAAGGAATCATCATCCTTATCCCCTTTCAAATGCAGTTTGGCTCAGGGAAAAGAGAAGCAGTCTAGGAGGTGGAGGATCTTGGTCTACTACTGGCTTTGCTGGGACTAGGTACTCTGGGTAGGGTCATAGGTACTCCTGCGTCTCCCCTGCCCCACCCCACTTATCCCCATATTTTATTAATATGTTCATGACCCTGTCACCCCAACTAGACTATGAACTAAATGGGGGGCAAAGTCCATGCATCTTTCCTATTTCCTACTTTCCCCCCAATACTGCCTAGAGTAGGTTTGATACACAGCAAATTCTCAACAAATATGGACTATATAAATGTATTAAAACTTCTCTCATGCTCCACACCCTTCTCTCAGAGGAACGTATGGGGGAAAAGGAGAGGATGAGAGTGGAATTAAAACCCTCAAATTGAAGGCTTCTGGGTCATCATCATAGAAGCTCAAATTTGAAGGAGGGGGTAAGTTTTTACAGTCATACCAGTTCTGCCTTTATTTGTCATACACTGGAAGTTTCCATGTGAAGAAAGAGATCTGGCATGGGAAATTAATTAATTAATTAACTAATTAAAAATTTTAAACCTATTGATTTAATCCAACCTGCTCCACTCTTACCCTGAGTGATCATTCCAGCATTCTTGTCAAGTGGTTGAACCAATCCTGCCTGAATTCCTCCAGGAAATGGAAGCTTCCTTTTTCTGGTACTTGGAATGTCTTTCATTACACTGAGACAAAAATCTGCCTCCTCATGCCTGCCAGGCTTTAATCCTAGCTTCCTTCCCACTCATTTGGGTACACAGAATAAATCTAATTCCTATCCTTCTTTCCTTCCACCCCTGAATCCATCCATCCATCTATCTGCAAAACACTCCCTAAATTACACCCAGGGTTTCTCCAACCTCTTCACCTTTGCACCGGTAATGTTTCTTCCCATCCTGGTGTCTCCATCAAGGCGCCATCAAGTCTTGGCTAGTGTCACCACCTCCCTGAAGGCTTCTCCAAACATTCACCTGCTCAAGAATACAGGAGCGCCTATATTTGAGGTAGTGCACTTCAAATACTGAATTTGAACCCTTCATTTGCAAGTCTGAGTATGAGCCCGTGAAAGAAAGGACTATAGCTTATTTTCTCTACACCTCCAGGTCTCAGCATAGATTAAGTTCTCAGTGAATATTATAGGTGAAATAAAGGTAGGATTGTCCCAGGATGCCATAGAGATGGAGTCTAGGGTTTGATCAGGAGTGGTTCTGATCAAAGGATGCACAGACTGTCTGGTGAAGATGAGTGGGGATGATGTTAAGGAATGGGAGTGTGCCAGCTGCCTGGAGCCCAGGAGACTGGCAGAGGGTAGAGCCCCCAAGGAGTAGGAAAGCAGAAAGAACAGACCTTCTTAGACACCAAGAGTTCTTCCCTTTGCCTAGCCTCTCTGCTAATTCAGTTTGAGCATGGGAATTGTTCTATATCCCAGGGTATGGTCTGATAGCAAAGCATTTTTATAAGGTCTTGTGAAACTTTCACTTTCTTTTTCTAAGTTTATTGATGTATTTATTTCCTTCATAAGGAAGAGAGACATATGATTCTCCCTCTGCCACTCTTCAGCCAACCAAGATCACTGGGCAGCGTGTACAGGTCAACTAGAGAATCAAACTCTGATTTTCCATATGACTTCCAGCATTACAAAGCATTGTGTTATCACCAAGCCACTATGGCTGGGCCAGTGGGATTTTCTAAACTCAGTTTCCCAGAGTTAGTTGAGGTGAATTCACCCCTTCCTTTCCACTAGGTCCCTCCATTCCAGAAAGAAAGGAAGAGACAAGAAAAGAAAGAAAAAGAAGAAGAAAGAAAGAGAGAGGGAAGGAAGGAAGGAAAGAAGGAAGGAAGGAAGGAAGGAACGAACGAACGAACGAACGAGTGAAAAGAAAAAGAAAAAAGAAAGAAAGAAAAAGAAAAAAGAAAGAAAAGCAAAGCAGAAAAGAAAAAACTGTGCTGTTGAACAGAAGGGAGTGGGCTTCCTCCCTCTAGATGAAAAAGTAGGAGTGTTGATGTCAAGCTTAAGATTCCCACCCCAAGCAAGACTTGGTGTCAACCTGTGATTAATGAGTCTTTTGGGGAAACATGAACTTTGGGGATTTCCCCAGCATCTTAGTGACTAAAGAACTGGAGTGAGTTTTTCATCGGATGACATGAGAGGAGTTGTCTTCCAGTCTGGGTGTTAACAGTGGAACCTGAACTCCTGGATGCCTTTCTGGGAAGGATGAGGAAGGAGTAGTGGTGGCCTGGACTCTGCTCAGAAGTGTCATAGTGCCCTGAATGTGCTCTGGGTCCTGAGTCATGTGAGACAGCACCAGAATTGAGGGGAAAATGAATTCACTCGTCTATTTACTTTGTTTATTCATTTGCCAGCAGATATTAATTATAGATGTATAGTATGTAGAACACTGTACAAGGGGACTTCAAAAATTCAGGTATGAAGCCAGCAGGTGGTATGTTCATTAAGGTATGCTAGACTCTCACATGGTTGACCATGGTTCAAGTCCCACACCTGGCAACTTGAAAATCACACTGGGCACTTGTGCATGTGTACCCAAAATCTCAGGAGGAAAATGGAGGAGAAGGAATTACAGAATGGTCATGTCCCCTGGAGGGGGAGGTGATTTCTCACTTTCTCTCTCACTGTCTCTCTCTAGCAGGTGCACACACCCTATGGAAAAAAACTAAAAGTAAAAATTTAAGTTCATCGTAAAAATAAAATTAAAATATAAGTTTATTTTAGTGCAAAACAATTGAAATTCATGACAGGTCTTCATGACACACATTGTCGATTTTTTGAAGACCCCTTGTATAATACTGAGGGGCCGACATGATGAATAAGACTTGACATTGTTGACAGGGAGCTCCCAGGCCTACAAGGGAGACAGTATGGCTCCTCAAAAGATTCTCATATGGAAAAGGAAAGGCCAAAGAGGTGTAAAGTCAGTGGAACTTTGTAGTGGGAACAATACCTTTCAGCTGCGGATGACTCCGAGGAGGAGTAGGTATGAGAGTGGAGTTGAGACTGGTAACTATTGACATCCCAGGATATAAATGAAGATGCTTCAGAGAGTGGATACCACACGTCCAAAGGCATGGAAGAAGGCAGATGTGGGTATGAGCAGGAATCGGGAGCACTGGGGTCATAGGAGAAAGAGGTAAGAGGTACAGAGAATGGGGCAGCTACTTGGTCAAGGAGTTGACCTTTGGGACCAGCAGCTAGCATAATGGCTATGTCGCTGAACTCCCATATAGTCAAGCGTGGTTCGACTCCCAGACCCGGTGGCTTAAACTCACACCGGGCACGTGTGCGTGTACGCCCAAGATCCCGAGAGCAGAATGGAGGAGAAAGGATTGCAGCGTGGCCATCCCTCTCGGGGGTGATTTCTCACTTTCTGTC